GAACCTTCTATAAACAAGAATTACAAAAAGTAGCGGACTGTGGGTACTATCCTGTCGAAAAGGTACTGAAGACAAGAAAGCATTGGGGAAAATCAGAATACTTTGTTAAATTTCAGGGTTACCCTGAAAAATTTAATACTTGGGTTTCAAATTTGAAAATGATATAAAAACATGCGTACTGTATTTTACTTTTCATTTGAGCGAAAATGTCCTTCTACGTAACACTCATAAGCGATAGCTCTAGGAGATTTTTTCCAGACAATAAAATTTCTCGATTTATTAAACTGTCTATTGATCTTCTGGGAACGTAACATTCATAAGTCTAGCTCTAACAGATTTCTCTAGATAGATTTCTTTTCTCAGACAATTTATTTCAATTTCGACCGATTAAAATTTCTCGATTTATTACCCAACTACCTCTCCTATTGATCTTAGTAATGGGGACTGGGAACTAGCTCTCCTAAATATTATTTACCATCAATGTCGGAAATGGATAATAATGTTATTTGGGGTTGTTCACAATGCTGTTCACAATGGAGAACTGGAAGGACGGCATATTCCTCCTGGTTATTATGAAACGATACCGGACATATTAAAAGCTATGACTTTAGTTTCTCATAAAAACAAAATTGAATTTTCTTATCATAACATTACGAAAAGAGTAATGATAAAGACGGATGAACAATCAAAAGTGGTTCTTCACGGAGGACTAGCTGAGCTCTTAGGATTTGAACCGGGTGTTTACGAAGGAAGTGTCCAAAGTCCTTTCGTAGCGAATCCGAATGGTTTTTTCCCCGTTATGTATGTATACTGTGATTTAGTTGAACCACAAATCGTAGGTGACGTACAAGCCCCCCTTCTGAAAATTGTAACAGTGGAAGGGAAAGACGGAGAGATTATTGACAAACATTACTCTCGACCTTTTTATTTACCAGTGATTCGCCAACATTTTCAAACGATTGAAATCGAAATAAGGTCTCATTCGGGGAGTCTGGTGCCGTTTGAAAGAGGTAAAGTTTTCATAGTGCTCCACTTTCGTTTGAGACAAATTCTATAAAAAGCTTTACCAAAAGAAAAAATTATTCATTCATAGTGTAAACGTTCTAAAAGCTGTATCAAAAATGCTCATTCCATATGCTTGTTGCACCAAACACTTTGAGGATTATTATGTGGGACAAACTGGAAAAGGTCTGCCGTATTATCAGGGAATGGTTTTACAGAAAGGATACGGAATAGGTGGATTTTTTGCGAAACTTTTCCGTAGTGCCATGCCATTTTTAATTAAGGGAGCAAAAACTGTTGGAAAAGAAGCTCTACGTGCAGGAACGCAAATTGCAAACGATGTGATATCAGGAGAAAATTTTAAATCAGCCTTTAAAACCAGATCTAAAGAAAGTGGAAAAAAATTAGCAAGGAAAGCAGTTCAAAAAGCAGATGAGATGATTGGTCACGGAAAGTTTAAAAGGAAACGCAAATCTCCCAAACGCTTCATTTCGTCTAAAGCCAGGAAAGTGCAAAGACGTGACATTTTCAACTCATAATGGCTTTCCTCTTAAAAGATTCTCCAGAATGCGCCAAATCTGAACTCGATTTATTTACATTACCTCCAACCCAAACAGTTATAGAAAGAGGACAATGGATAGAATTTCATCCCCTTGCGAATGTGTCGGATGGAAGTCCTGTCGAATTCAATGTCGCGGGTAGTGGCGATGACTATTTGGATTTATCTCAAACTCAGTTATACGTCAAAGTTAAAATTTTGAAAAGCAATGGCGGCTCTCTCGGAAAAGATGATAAAGTGGGACCCGTGAATTTGTTTCTGCACTCCCTCTTTTCTCAAGTTGATATAAGCTTAAATGAAAGACTTATTTCCTCCAGCAATAACACGTACCCTTACAGAGCCATCATAGAAAAATTACTTAATCATGGTTTTGATACGAAAACTTCTCAATTATCATCAGAATTATATTTTAAAGATACAGCAGGCCGTATGAATGTTTTTGATACTGCGGATAAGCAACCTAATGAGGGATTCAATAAAAGAGCAGAAGAATTTAAACTTAGTGCTACAGTGGATATGATTGGACGGCTACATCTAGATATGTTTCATCAAGAAAGACTTTTGTTGAACATGGTCGATATGAAAATTAAACTTATCCGCAGCAAACCGGAATTTTGTTTACTGGGGGAGGGGAATTTTAAAGTGTCATTGGAACATGCCTCATTATTTGTACGCAAAGTTCGAGTCAGTCCAGGTGTAATTTTAGGGCATGCAAAAAGTTTAGAAAAAGCGACAGCGAAATATCCTATCAACCGAGTGCTTTGCAAAGTGTATTCCATTCCATCAGGAAATATGAGTTTTGTTCAAGATAGTATTTTTACGGGCCAGATGCCTAAACGCTTAATTGTTGCTTGTGTCGATAATGATGCTTTCAACGGAAACTATAAAAAATCTCCCTTCGAATTTAAGCACAATCATATCAATTTTATTGGCATTTACGTAGATGGGCAACCTATGCCTCACAATCCTCTTCAACCTGATTTCATGAATAAAACCTTTATTCGTGCTTATCAGAATTTATTTGCCAATGCAGAAAACCGAGGATTGTATCTTTCGAGATCAGAGTATCCAGAAGGATACTGCTTATTTCTTTTCGATCTATCACCTGACTTGTGTGATGGTTCTCACTTGAATTTAGTCCGTCATAGTAATTTGAGACTGGAGGTAAAATTCGGTTTCCCTCTGCCAATAACAACATCGTTAATAGTCTATGCAGAATTTGAAAACTTAATAGAAATCAATAAATCTAGAAATATTATCTACGATTTTGGTAACTAATGAATTCTTCAGAAATTCATAGAATACTCTCTCATGACAAATGGACAGCAAAGTACTACACTGGAGTTTTCCCTTCAGATAAAATCCCAGATGTTCATCGTTTCCCAGCAGCTATTGTAGTCAACACTGATAAACACAACGAGAAAGGGACGCACTGGCTGGCTTTCTTCATTGAAAATAATCAGACTTTAGAATTTTTCGATTCTTATGGACTTCCTCCCATGACTTATGGTGATGACATAGCAAAATTTACTAGCAAGTTTAACTGTGTGACATGGAATCAAGTTTCTCTTCAGAGTGTAACATCAAATGTTTGTGGACAATATTGTACTTATTATTTGTTAAAACGATGTCAAGGATTATGTTTGGAATCAATTGTATCTAATCTTTCTGTAAGAAATAGCGATTTTCATGTATTTCATTTTGTGAAGAAAAGGTATGGTGTAAAAATGATTTTTAAGAAATAAAATATTAATTTGCTTGGAATTTTAGTTTTGTCTTTCTTATTAATAAAGTGCAATTTACAATTTTCTTAAATAACTTTTCTTTTACCTTTTAGTTATAGAATAAATTTTAAAGGTTTCATTTAAGCTTAAAAATTATTTTCCATTGTAAATTACTGGAAAAAAAAAAAAAGATTTATTTTACTCATGACATCTGCACATTTTTTAAGGAAAAAAAACTTACCTTTAAAAAAAAAATCTGGATCATTTTTTTTCAACCTGAAATTAAAAAATATTTTTTCACACATAAAAACACACCAAATTTAACTAATATCTTTCTTTTTATTTAATATTTTATCCAAGAAGTTGAATACAATTTTCTTTTCTTTTTTACACATTTAGGTTTAGCATACATTGTAAACAGATACTTGTTTTTTACAAACTCCCTGGGAAAATCTACAACATCTAAGAATTTTTTAAACTCTTCATAACCTACAGGCTTGGTCTGTTGATTTCTTAACAAATAATTCACCAAGTCTTGAACATTAGAATTATTAATTTTAACTTGGTTCATGATTAATTCTTTAGATGGAGTCCATGTAATAATATCATTGTGAAGTTTTAAAAAGTCTATAATTCTTTTGGCAATGTTCTTAAATTTCACTGGAGCGGAATTCACAATTTCTTCTTCCATGGTAAACTTTTTCTCTTCTTCTTTGCTAAGCTGAACACTTTCTTGTGTTTCTGATTTTAATTGGGGAAATGTTACATATTTTTGAAGTATTTGAAGGTATTGCTTGGCTTTTTCATCTTCGGATAACTTCTCGTTTAAAATGGTGCTCATTTGCTGATCTAAATCTGATAAATGGTTTTCAGCAAATTCTAATTCTCGATCCGAGGGTACAAGGATAAATTTACGAGCGAACTCCATTAATTAATGTGCTCAGTACAGAAACTGCGGCAGGAATGAGCAACGAAAGAAATCCATCACCTTTTTGTACCAATAGTCTCCGTTTTTTAAATAAGGGTATCTTTTTATCACCTAATGTACGCAAAGTCCGTTTATATACGGCCAGTTTACGTTTCTGTCTTTTAGACAAAGGAACGTTACCCTGTAATACATTTAAAGCACATTCACATACACTTTTAATAACACTATTGGGACATTTTCTTAGAAGAGTTTTTTTTTACTTTACTTTTGCCTAGGAGTTTAAGATGTTCCAGGCTCGACATCTGGACCTCAAATGATTGGTACTTTAACAATTCCTTCTCTTTTATAAAGGTCGCATAAGCAACCGCTTTTTGTGCAGATCTTATATTTTAGGACATTTTTTAAATAATCTAATTTTCAAAAAAAAAAAAAAAAAAAAAAATTCGGTGTGGCAAATTTTATTCTTTTACAATGTAAAAGAGAGTTTTAAATTTTAAAAAACCTACAAATTAAATCACTGAAGGAGAAAACTTGTTGAGTGCAACAGCAACTAACGGAGTTCATAAACAAAATGCTTATCTGAAGGGAAAATGCCTGTACGTAAATCCTTAACATTTCTTTGGGTTTCTGGTGACTTAAATTTTTCTATTATGACAATTAAAAATAACTGAAATAAATTTTGGATAAATTTTGAAGTTGCACTTCTCTCGGAATGACTTTCCGATGAAAACTGCCTTTTGTTTTTCCCGGGGAACATCTGCCTTGATCCAAATGTACGACTTGACATTTAATCTCTAAATGAGATGATTTTGAACAGTATCATGTAATTTTGCACAATCTCAAATCGAATGTTGAGTTTCGAGTCGAATTCCTCTCGGGCTGTTACATAAGCGTAATTTTTAGGGCCTCCTGAATGGGGGAAAAAATATGCTACAGAAACTACAAGAATAAAAGATCAACCTAATAAAAAATAAAATAAAAAATGAAGCTCACCAGAGACAAATGTAGTAATAGTATCTCCATTGAGTTCATCTGTAAAATCCCCCAAAAAATTACCAAGAGGCGGATCGTTGGTAAAATCGCTTGCGTATATAATTGAATCCGTGTCATGATACAACACAGCACGGCCCAACTTCTCCATTTCACTGTAAAGCTTTAACCGTGCCCATGCAGTAGTAAAAGCTGCCAAGAACACATTTGTGGATGTGTCCTGTGGAACAAAATAATGTTTATAGTCCCATTGCACAGCAGCTACTTCAGGAGTCGGAAAATATAAGTCTTTGATCTGGAGGAAAAGTTAGCAGGTTGCAAGATTAATCATTTAAAAATATACATCTTAATTTACATTAGAAAATAAAATTACAAAACTTACATTTTTTGTTGGATCTGCTAATAATTTATTGAAATCAGGTAATGTATGAACATAAGTCAAACGTATCTTGTTCAGGTTCATTCCCCATCTTTAAAGAAAAAAAATATATAAGAAAAGAATGAGCATTTTTTTTAAGAAATAATAAATGATATAAAGATGTGAAACAACTCTTTCTATTAAAAACATTATAATAATTATTTACCGCCCCCAGAAGCTGTTCAAAGCCAATTTGGCTACTTGCCGTCTTCCAGGATTCTTCTTAATATTAAATTCATCAAGCTGCACACCCTCTCGCTCAAAATAGGCTTCAATGTAGCGTTTTCGTTCGGTCGAGCTTACACAATCGGCTGGCCAGCCGCTGCTTTCTTGTTTTATTTTTAAAAACAAGTTGATATAAGATTGAAATAGAGTATCCGTAAATTGAGAAAAATGGTACACTTCATAAATCTGAAAAAAAAAAAAAAAAAGATAGTGGGAATATGAATATAATAATATACAATAAAAATACATGCTGTGACATTTATAACACATTCAATAATACTAATAATTACCCAAAATACTTACCTTTGTTATACAGTAACCTTTTTTCACTGCTAATTTGACTTCTTCAGTCACCCATGTGCCAATGATGGCTCTCTCATCATCTGAGTGCTGGCAAATGCCTTGATACATTAATTCAGCACAAGTCTTGCAGAGGGGAAACATCAGTTTATTTTGTGCTCTGTACGGCAATACGGGGAGGTATAAACCTCGAGGAGGCAGTATTCGGCACTTTATAATACCGAAATAGTTTTCCAAGGCATCAAAATTTTCAGTAATAATATTAGGGTGTCCGACGGGGTACAAACAGTATTTATTGACCTAGGAAAAATTGAAAAAATATGAATAATCGGAAAAGCGATTTTCTTTTTAAATAAGACATGCGCGTTTAATAAGATTATTTTATGCCAAAACACAGAAAAAAAAAGTATTTACCCATGGATACAGTGAAGTGAAATCCACATACTTTGCATCACCCTCATAATACAGCTGAATGGCATTTGTCCGCCCGCCGAAGAAAGCATCTTTAGGATTCAATCGATCCTGAAGCTCGTGACTTAGAAGAAAATATTTTACTTTTTCATCTGTTTTCTTTTTCATCTCAAACTCATGCTCCCACATTTCAATTACATTATACCCTCGATCACGTAGCTGGTAAGTCTTGTCTACCGTTTGTTGTCGCAATGTCGACATGGGTAATTTTGTTATGGGGTGGAGTGCATCTCCGTCAAAACAGGTGGAGCAACCGTGAAAGAAACATCCCTGCGATAGTTAAAAATTTTTTCGTATAATACCAATAAATAAATAAATTAAATAATATATTTATAAATAAATAAATATTGAACTCTTACGTAGTATTGATAAACAGTATTTGTTTCTTTGCAATATCCGTCTACAGATATACCATCCAATCGTCTTTCTCCTTTTCCGTTCAAAGCGTGTTCGATTTCAATGCTCTCTTTTTGGGCAATAAAATCAAGCCAACGAATACAGTCAGGACTATGATTCGTGCGATTGATATAACCTCCTACAGGTATCATTGCGATGGTATTAGGTATTATGTGTCGGGATCTGTAAACCGCCATACACGCTGATGCAATGGTTATGTAACTGAAAATAAAACGGACAAGAAAAGTGTAAATCATATATACATAAAGTATACATGCACGTATACAATACGTTGTTACAAAATGACAAAACCATGTAAAAGAAAAGGTTTGTAAAATACCAAAAGGGGTCTACTCCTGTAATTTCTAAAAACTGATTTCTAAATTCAACGCAACATCTACGAAGGATATCAACATCTGATCTGAAAACGAAAAGAGTAAATAAATAAATAAAACATGGTACCAAAAAAAAATACACCTAAAAGACGGATCATAATGAAGGATTAGAAATAGATTGTTGATACAAACCGGCAATACGTGAGAATTTCTTCTTGGAAATCAAATATATCCTTCTCGTGTTCTTTATGCCATTCCAAAAAGGAGGTTCGCACCGCACTAGTCATACAATCAGGATTGTAGTACTTAGGCTCAGGTAAAAATCCCACATAATTTTGATTTTCTTTCTTGTTGAAAAGGTGCGGAAAATATCCTTTTTTTAGTTCTGTAAGGCCGAAACAAGCAGGCAGCTTTGAGAGAGCCATCGGCAGGAAATTAAAAGAATCAATAAGTTTTATGTTGAGGGCGGTATGGGTGATTACCATCACTTTAGAGCCATTAGGGATTACTTCAGGTGCCGTACCCTGTTCTAAAAGCCATGCCATTATAAACTGACCGTCAAATCTGTAAAGAAAAAAAAAAATTATTATATTTTAAAAAAAATGTATTATATTTAAAACAATAGCCCTATAATATATATATGCAGATTAAAAATAATAAGAATACATTTACCCCTTCATATTGTGTGCAATAACAGTGTAATTTTTGTGCACTGTTGTAAACAGCCAAGAGCAGAATTCATGACATGCTTCGTATCCTTTAAATATTTTCTCTTGGCCATCTTTGTACTGCGCTACAGCAAAGTTTACGATGTGTTCCCCTGATGATTGGTCAGTTTCGAAATCAAAGAAAATTAATTTATCGGATGGACTTTTCGCAGAAATGAGTTGTAAGAAACAATGATGTTCTGACGCTATAACATACTCTTTACACGAAGGGCATTTGATAGTCCCGCAACGATGTAAAATTTTAGGACACTGCCGTCGCATGATAACTTTTGAGCATTGTCTGCACTGATACATCTGTAATTAGGAAAAAAAAAAGTAGAACAAAGATTTTTTAAAAATATATTTAGAAAAAAAAAACGTTTTAAAAATGTAAGTATTAAAAACTTTCCCCTAGTTGAGTAATACTTACCCTATCGCATACTGAATGCTCTTGTCTACCTGTGACGGCTTTATGCGCTGCAAAGCAGTCCTCAGATTGACAGAGGCGATCACAATCTTTACATCTTTTAGGCAATGCTGGAACGCATTGAAATCTTAGGCAGACATGGCACATATTGTCACACCTGTGATCTTCTGGACGGTCATATGGCTTTTCACAATTTTCGCAATAGTTTTTCGAACCATAAAAACCGTGTAAATTTGTAATGACATCAAAATGGCCATTGTGTTGCCACAAATTAATGCGACGAGTTCGATATCTTCCTTTATACGAGACCTAGAAATAAACAGTTTATAAATATAATTTCATTTTACATTTTTTTTTCAATTTAATTAATTTTTTTTGTTTAAAATCTTTGGCTTACTTTATTTAAATTTTCACTGCTTATTACTACGATTTGTATATTTAGATGATTTTCAAATGTGCAGATTTCAGTGTATGTACAAGGACCAAGAGGAACTCCAGCACACTTGTGTAATTCTTGAGCTCGTAGCATTAGAACAGATCGTCTCCGATCCCGTAGAGAATTAAGCGCTGACTTGTCTTGCTCAAGATAAGCTAGGGCATATACGATTGCTTTTGCGCAACACAACCCTTCATCATCTGACGGGATGGAAAGGACAGAGCGTTTTTTAAGACGATCTACTTGAATGTTGATTATCTTTGCTCTACCTGCACCGATATCCCTGCGAATCGTGATCACATCTACTAGGAAGCCTGAATCCAGCCGAATTTCATCTTTTGACTGCAGAACTTTCATAATAACCGATAATACGGTCTCCACCGTCATGGAAGATACGGCAATAATTTTCGTAGACATGGGTTTATCCAATCCATCGGCTTGGATACACATTCGTATCCAATCTGTCGGCCTTAGATTTTCTGTTGACCGTTGAATTAATATTTCAAACAGCTGTCTAACAGATTCAGTTACGGCTAGAAGAGGCCTGTTGCGAATATTTTGAGGCAGACGATTCATATCAACACGTGCCTGGAAGGTTATTTCCTCGCCTTGATACTTTCGGTTACGACGCCGTGCCTTCTCTTTGAGTATAATAGCATTTTCCATCTGGAAAGAAAAGAACATAATTCAGTGTAAATGAAAATAAGCACACACGCAAACACACCATAAGCCCTAAAACAGGAGAAAAACTCACATTTACTGAAATGTCATGTTCCACATATGCAGGTCCTTTAGATGGAGCAGAAGGTTGAGTCTAAAAGATGTATAGACATCACAGTGATATGAAAAACATAACAAACATAGAAAAACATAAAAAACATAGAAAAAAAAAATAATTCTCATATATATTTTATATATATATATTAAAAACTGATATTACCTCATATCCCGAGCCTACTTGATAGTAAAGAGGCAAAACCAAAGGATTCTCCAAAAATATCTGCGAAGTTTCACTTAAGAGCTAAAGAAAAGTAACAGTTGTGTTTAAAGAAATTTAGGTTCAGCTTATAAAAAAAAAAAAAAAAAAAAAAAAAAAAAAAAAAAAAAAAAAAAAAAAAAATTAATGACAAAAAAAAACAAAAAAAAAAAAAAAAAAAAAAAAAAAAAAAAAAAAAAAAAAAAAAAAAAACTACGTACTTCATCTCCTGAATCACTAAAATAATTTTCAATGCCGTCAATAGGATTTTCGATGAATATTTGAGATGTTTCACTCAGGCACTAAATAAATTAAAAATAGTGAATAGTCTTTTTCTAGGTGGGGCAAAAAACTATACATTGTAAAAATAAGCCACAGAAGGAAATAAATAAAACTAGCTTACCTCATCATCAGAATCTCTTAAAAGCGCATGGAAATCCTCACACTACAAAATAATAGTATTTTTAATCATGTAAGTATTACAAACACGTGGTCAAAGAACAATTGAAAATAATATGGCGATATAACTGTTTTGAAACGTTAATATTACAAACACGTGTTTCAACAAAACAGGGTAAAATATAATAAAAAAAATCTAAGCCGTGTAAATAAAACACATAAATAAAATTTAGCTTACTTGATCATTAGAATCTCTTACAGATACATCGGAATCCTCACACTACAAAAAATTTTAATTGCGTGTCAGTATTACAGGCACGTGGTCAAAGAAAAAAAAACAAAACACTAAAATAATAAAATTAAACACATAATAACCTTAATACATTTTATATATAAATAAAATAAAAATAAATAAAATAAATTTTAAATATGAATACTTACTTGATCAAAAAAGGGTTCCAAAGAACGTTTACTGTTTCTTGAAGCCATTTTCGCAGATACGAAGAGAATTTCTTGTTTTTTCAAAAAGCGTGGTAACAAACTTCTAGAATTTAGCAAGTAATGAATTTCGGAGGCAATCCAGCGGTTGAAACTCGGCTCCGAACTTTTTACTTTGTCTGAATACGCGGATTGGTTAAGAGGGCATGACATCATTTTTCTGCTTTCTGATTGGTCCACAGAAATGTATTCGTTCACCTACGCGGATGTCTACACAAAGGGAGTGAAAAGGCAGACGCCATTTCCCAACCAAATCATGCACAAACATGATAAGGGTGACGTCATTTACCCACCAAGAAAATTCTTCAAAATGGCGGCTATAGAGGAAATCCAAGATGGCGGAGCACGGAAAAACCTTATGCAGATAATTAAGAACCATATCAACCAAGGAATTGTGGGGTATCGCTTAAAGACTTGGATGCGGTCCCCCTCAATCCCTTTTTATTAATTATTGGGTGGTAGCGAGTTCGTACCCCGTGAAAAGGAAATATATTACATTTTCATATTATTTTTTTTTACGATCCTGTTACTTTTAGATGATGTTCTGGACGCTAGATGGCGCCAGCAGTAACATAGCTTCAAGAAAATCAGTACAGATGTAAAAATATCATTTTAACTCTTTCCCTGCAGATAATAAATAATTTTAAAAAATTTCTTCCATTCGAAAATAATATCACCCACTTAGAAGAAAAAAAAATTCATTTGATAAATTGAAAATATTAATTAAAAATTAAGCACAAAATAATCTTTATAATATCTTAAAGAAGGTAATCAATGTTCGAAAAAAAATTAAGGAATTAAAATATATGTCTTCTACCCCTCTTTCATCGTTTAAAAGAAACTTTTCGATCGGTAAACTCGTTGAACGCTTTGCCTTTTTTTTTTCTAAGTACGAATTTTTAGTCTTCTGTGGTAACAAAAGCGTGGCTCAGTGGTTTAAAGCGCGTAGCTGGAGATCTCGACATCGTGGGTTCGGGCCCACGCAATTTTTAAAACTGTCATGAAGGGCAGCATAAATCACCGTACAAAACAAAATGGCCGATGTTCTCCAAAGACCACGTGATTAATAAATTAATTAGGTAAGTTAAATAATAATTAATTAAATCCTTCATAAATACTTACCGAATAAAATTAACGAATGCCTCGGCGATTCAGCACGCACGGCATGGCGGGAAAAGGATGAGTCATTCCAAAGGAACACCACGTGATCCAATATGGCGGATGGAAGTCACGTGATCCAATATGGCGGAGGCCACGCCCCCGTTGCGTCATCCTTTGTTCTATTACGTCATGGCGGCAGTGAAAGAAAAATAAGACCCACGTTTTAAAGAAAAAACCGGTTTCTTTAAATCTTATTTAAAAAAAATTGTTATCTTAGTGCAGGCCCCGATGTTTGTTTTGGATTACTCTCGTATTATTCGTTTGATTTAATTTAGACAGATTAGAAATTTGATTTGCTTAACATATTTTAACACCTTAATGTGTCTTTCTGAGCGGACGCGTCGGGAAATTGGAACAGAGAATTGAGACTATTAAAATTTCCAAGACACTTTGTCAAAAAAATTTTTTAACGAAAAAGTTTCAATTGTCTGTTTCGGCGAAACGTGTAATGGGGTTAGCTTGATTCGACGTTCAAATAAATGAAATTTCCCTTGAAAAGCCTGTTTGGATGTCGAATTGGGCTAATTTACCATTTTCCGCTTACTTTTTAACTTTTTCTGTTTTTTAATTTTATTGTATTTATGTTTTACATGTCAAATGATTTGCTTTTCATGTGTATTAATTTTTGAAAAACGTCTCTTAAACCTTTTGGAGCAGCAGCTCTTGGGTAACTTTTAGGCGAGCTTTCTACAATTTATATATATATATATATATAACAAAAGTACGTATAAGTCAAAAATAGGATTTTTATCATCATTATTTTCTTGTCAGTAGTGGTGATGATGCTGAATTTTGATCTAAAATTATCAGGTTTTTGCATAAATTTCACAAAATAAGGAATTTTTAAGCATTTTCTTGGTACTATATTTAAGTGTGGGTGCAATCCAATAAAAAAAATCTTATAAATTCAGAAATATAACAAATAATTTGAAAAGCGCCCTTCGAACGAGGTCGGTTATCTTAAAGAATTAAAATTATCTCAGTTAAGGGTAGTTGTGGAAAACTAGTTTCCATCCATTGTCGTAAAAGCTATAAACTTTTTTTTTTTTACTATTTGCAACAGTATACGTGTGTGAATAAAGTCCCTTTTCTATGCTTACTATTAAGAATGTAAAGAGATAACCATTGAAAAGTCTTGATCATATATTGAGTTCAGCGCTTTTGACCATAAACCCAGATATTGAAAAGTTCTCTGAACAGAAATAAGCTTAAGTATCTCACTGAAATAAGAAGATAATATACGTATTAACGGTGGCAAAAGTATACAGCACCATGTTTAAATTAAAATGTTTATTTTGTCATAATATTATTATTTGCATACTTAAACATAGTCAATAAATCTTTTCTGTAGATTTAAATTTAACATTGCATTTTCATTCTACAATTTTATAAAATAAGTGTTCTAAAAATTTAACGGCTGCTTCACTCAGTTAAATATGACACTTTAGTTCAACAATGCGAAGTAAAAACTATATTAAATATCAGTCACTGATAAGGTAGATGAATTAGGTATTTTCCTATCGTTTGTTTTATTAATTTCGTGTTTATAACCGCATAAGAAGAGTTATCTGAAATAGGTGTCTAGCAAGAATTTGTACTCATTATAATGAAAAAATATCTGAAAGTTCGTATTAATTAAATCACTAGTGTAGAATAGAAGAAATTTATCACGTTAACAAGAACTATTCCTTCGTAGTGTATCCTGATATTATTTATGTTTGCGATGTGCGCCATGAAATGATTTATGACGTGCGCCGTGACGTGAAAAGACTGCAAAGCATTGTTTCTAAGTAACATAGAGCATAGACTTTTGTTACATAGAATATCAAGTGAAAAATGTTTTTATCAAAAAGAAAAGACTGAATGATTACAGTATTTAATACAAATGGTAAATTGAAAACAACATCCACTTACTTGTCAATTAGATAACTGACAAAAAGAGCTTTTAGTGTGCATGTCTTTTTCTTAATGAAATAACAATGAACAATAGTAGTTTTACTTATTATTGCCAGTACACGAATATTCATTCGAAATTTGAAATTAAAAACAGACATATAGCAGTTAAAATCGTTCACAGTTTGAAGACTAAAAAAAACGTCCAACTGACAAAAATTCCATCATTATTTTTGCTCCGAATTTTTTTTTCAATAATTTGTTATGTTTATAATAAGTCACAAAGCTAAGTGGTATCTAATAATCTGATACATCTGGGACAAACGGAAGTTTTCTTTAATCTCAGTATATCTCCCATAATAAACAACGCTGACCATTAAAATTCAGATGTGCTTCAGATGAATTTAGCCTAAATAGACATTCGACATTGATGTATAAAATATCAATGACTTAACAATAATACCTAGAATATATTATTCTTGATTATATATAGAACATATCGTGCATATTTTCAATAGCTTGCACAACTTCTAGAGGCAAAGGTTGGCGAGTTTTTCCAGATTTTGACTCGGCGAATCTATCAGCATATTTTTTCGCTCTATTTGCTGCTAAGTCTGCATATAATACAGGTGCTGGAATGGAAACCCCCCGAGTGCAACGGGTATATGCGTAGCACAGAGAATGGCATAAATGTTGTAAATCATCTGCTGTAAATTGGTTATCATCATGAAGTACTATATAATGTGCTGGCTTACTGGTACCATGTATGCCTTCATGAGAACAAAGGAAAAAATCAAAAAAGACAGGATGAGTAATAGTTGTATCAATTGTAGTGCCAGGAGGGACATTACCCGATTTATAAACTCCTTCTTGACGATCCTGAGGTCTGACTCTAGTTTGGTGCCTTTTCTGAACAACAATATATGTGATGGGTAAAGTCTTATGAAACAGTTCTGAACACGCCTGTTGAATACCTGTTACTTCCTCTTCAAGAGCTGACTTCAATTGGCCTTCACTAACTCCATCGCGAAAGAAAAGTATTTTCTCGGGTTTTTCCCCGCCATTGTTCTCACTAAAGACCTCTAAAATACCTTTTACAACGCTTTTCATTTCTGTAATTATTTCCTGTGAAAGTTTACTGTCATCTTTATTTTCTTGTAGAACGCATTTTAAAGCATATCTAGACACAGTTTTATCAAGACTTCCAACAACTGCTGCTATAGAGGGATATCCAAAATCTCGAGGCCAGTGAACACAATCTGCACCAAAAACGATAACAGATGAGGAAAATGTTGGCGGGTTTTGCAGAAATATATGATTTATTCCCCCCAGTTTAATATTGATTTTCAAACAAACATTGGTTGTTATTTGATCGTTAATTTTTCTTAGACTTTTATCATCCATGCATTGAGTAACCAAATTATATTTAATATCTGCAAGATATTTAACTTCTTCATACGAATGCTTTTTATCATTTCTAGAGAGAACAATAATAGCAAATTCAGCACCAGATCTTTTAGCATATAATATAGCCTCTTCCGTACTGCTTCTGTCATCAAAAAGTTTTATCTCACAAGGATGGGGTAAGTTCATTCCACATTTGATGCTTGAAGTAACTAAAGTTTCAGAATAATATCGCAATTTACCAAACCCACAAAACTTTTCCTTAACAAAACTTATTACTATCCACTTTTGAACTTTCATTGCTTTATAGAATTCTTTTCCAGTTTCTATTCTCCAGACACCTTTGCGATCTGGTTTTGCAATTCGTGATGGAGCGTTACCGCTATATGCAAGAGATGGAGCGGGTATTATTCGACCAGTCAATCTCATGAACTGACTATCCATTTCAAGACCAAAATGATTCATTACTGGTCCACTTACATTTTGTATGGTCCGAGAATGTTTCATTATCTTCTGAAAGCGATCCTCCGGCTCTATAGCGGTATTTGTTATCATTCGAGATGTTGTTTCAGCACTCAGTTTACCAATTTTAGCTTGCCCTTTAACTATTACACAATTTTCCATGGGCATGTAAGTTTTGTTGTTGCCACCGTGCATATGAAGGCATGGTAACTGAGGGTAACAGAGAGTTTTGTATTTTTGAGCAAAATACTGAGCAACTGAAATTTTTCTTTTTTCGAATTCCATCATTTCCTCTCTGGCAGGCAAATTCCTTACTCCTTTTATCGTGTACAGTCGAGGTTGCTTTTGATGTGTCACTCGAACACGAACATTTCTTAGTGCGTCTGATAGTTCTTGAATTTGTAGCGGCTCTAACCTAGGCCAATTTATAATATTGATCCGTAAAATTTCACAGGCGTAGTCTATAACTGAGCCATATTTGTGAAATGCCTTTGCTGCTAAATTAACAACTACTACTGGAAAATTCTGTGCTAAATGAACGCTTTGATTGTACCCAAACCATATTTCTAAACCAGATAATAAATTTCGTGAATCATTTTGATTTGGACTAAAAAAGGAATTTCGAAGTTGAACTTGGATCAGTGGAGGCTCCCGATGATTCATAACGGTGTCGAAAACTAACAGTGCATCTTGCGGTATTTCTCTCGAACGACCACGGTATAATTCCATCAATGGTTCCAAATTTATGAGGTTACTACCATCTTCCTTTCTAACTGGTTTTATAATTACACAGAAAGTGTTCTTTTCACCAATATCAATATTTTCACACAATTCTTTATGAAAAGGTAAAATTTGATTTGTGAAAATATTTTTTTGTCCATCATAAACTGGACAAAATTTTTGTAACCTTTTATTTTTCACTAAAGTTGCAAAAATTTTCCTACACTTCTCTTTGCAAATATTTCTTTTCTGTTCATGTTCAACAACAGGTACACCTTTCTCTTTAGCTTGTTTTAAAGTATTTCCTTGGTGTATAATGCTTTCTTTACTCTCGCCCTCTTTTGTATTTTGAGTTATATTAACATCATAATGATAAATAGGCATATCTTTAAATTTTAATATAAAGTAATTTGCAATTAGTTTGATATTGCGACCCTTAATTCCATAGCCTGGTCTTGTAGCCATTGAGTATTCTTTTTTGGACACTTGCATTTCTTTAGACTGTAAGGATAAACCTGAAATTTTTTCGAAAAGATTTTCAGAATATCTTTCTTCTCCCTCAGTTTGGAAGTTTTTACCTGTTTCATCTCTAGTGAATTCAGGTTTCTTCTCTTCAGGTTCACTTATTTCACAGGAAGAATGTAGGTGTTCTTGATTTGAAAAGACATGTCTATCACGATTCCTCGCTGAAATTTGAGAGAAAAGTTGCGTATGAGTTTCAGTAAAAGAAAATGTAAATCATTAGATCAAAATGAATAAATTATTCACAAGCACAAATGCGCCAAATTATCTTTAGGGTAAATTATCTTTACATGCATAAAAACAATCATATTTAATGAAATAACAAATCAATATAATTTATTTTTTCATGGAATCATGAGGACCACAAACTTAATTATGTCAATCCAGTTGAACTTAATTAAGCAACTTAAATTCTTAAACGCAAATGATGAAATGATGTCACTAAAACCCTAGCAAGCATTCTTCACATTTCACGGAGAATTCTGCAGTCCAAGGCTTAATTTCAGCACTTATTGGGTCAAATGCGTTTTTTCTTAACATTAAAAAAAATTCCTTTTTTTCAACCAATATTTTGATGAGATTTTCTTTTTTTCTTTCTTCCCTCTTTTTCGTTTCTTTTTTAGGCTTAATTTCAGTATTTATCGAGTCAAAATGCTTTAAAAAAATCTTTTTTTTAACTAATATTTCGTTTAAAAAAAGGAAAAAAAATCTCAGCAAAATATTAGTTGAAAAAGATGCCTGCCGTTCATAAAAGTATCAAACAGTTATGGAAGTGACAAGACAACTCAACGTTTAAAACAATGAAGTTAGCCTGTTGGAAATAGTTTAAAGATTCTGAAATTGTATTTGAAAAGAATAAAAACGACTGATTCTAAAGATCAGTTTTTGCCTCTAAGCGCCCGTCGCAACAGAAGCTTGAATGCTAGTAATTGAACTCAGAGTGTGTAGCCGATGTTGGAACATTTGTAGCGAGATAAACTATATTCAAAAAAGTTAATAACAAATGTCTTACAATTCAAAAAGGTTAATAATAAATGTCAGTTTTACAACAAAAGAGCGTGTGCATAAATTTCTGCAATAAACCTTAAAGCTGAACCTTTGAACAACAAGGCTGCTGTTTCTCCACTTTTGACTCGCTTAACATTTGGTTTAAAACGCCTTTGATTGACTAGGTAGATTTGAGACCACCAAAATTAGTGATTATGACCATTGGCATGGATGGTATGAGGAGTTATTAATGATCATTGGATGTTGTCCCCTTGTTAGAGTAGTTAGGTCTGCCCGGGAGGGTCTAGGACGTTTCGCTGTCGCCATTTCATCGTGGCCGTCTCGCCGTCAGGACGTTTCGCCGTCGAGACTTATTTTTCTTTATATGACTATATTATACTCGTATTTAAATTTATTTAGATTAATAATTCTGTTTACCTTTTGTATACTTAATAAAGGTTGCTTGTAATATATATAGTTATTTACAAGTACGGGATATAAAGAAATTACGTATAGTTAGTTAGAAAATTATGTCAGTACCAAAGAGAACTGGGGCTAAAATTCTGTTATATCAGAAGTTATATTATCGATTTTAAAATTATGCGGGTGCAATAAATAATTCGCCAAAATTTCTTGAAATTTTAATCGGCGAGTTCAGAGAAATCACACATACAATCAAGAAATTCACATTTTTATGAAATCTGAATGGGAAACGAAATTACTTTGGAATCTTGTCAGCATATTACTTTCTTAATTTTAATATGTTATGTGTAACGGTGTATTCGTATAAAACTGTACACAAAAACGTTTTATATATTATTTTATATAAAATGTTTATTAAATTTAATGAAATTATTAAACTAAACAGCGTTATTAATTTAAATGATCTTAATGTAATAGGGCAATATATACAGTCGTGTAAAGAAAAATATGTTTTGACGGCAAAACGTCCCGACGGCGGAACGGCCACGGCGAATAGTCCCATTCTCTGTCCGAGGGTATCAGGATAAAATCTTACAATCATATGTAAATGTAAGTTAAAATAGCACACCGAATAATGATTATTGGAGAAGTCAAACAACTACAATCAGCGTAATATTTCTAAATTTTGCTGGAGTGGTTTCGACAGTTTAACTATAGAACTATAGAACTATAGTTTAACTTCTCCAATATATAAATGCGTTTTAGAAGTTTACGTGAATCTGATTTTCCATGGATGTGCCTGATTCATTTTACGAATGATAATCCGCGTCCAGATCGATAAATCTGAATAAAGAATTTCTTAAACACAAAATATCTACACTCATGTCCATAAATTAGGGATAATGCAAAATCAGGCAAAGGAAGAGTTAGAAGCAAAACAAATTTGACTTATTTGTAAAGCTTATTTATTAAACAAAAGGTAAAGAGCAAAAAAAGATGCTATATGTTTGATATTATTAAAAAAATTAGCGATTTTTTCTCCCTGGAGCAAATTACAAAAAAAAAAAAAACCTATTTACAAAAACCAATATTACATGGTTGGTATGATTGTTAATACATTGTATGTCTCCCAGACGATGCAATACAGTCCGTACAACGCCTAGGCATGCTGAGTATCAAATTATCGATCTGATCTTGGAGGGATATTACACCACTCAAAAAGCAATGCTCTCCGAAGTTCCGGTAGACATGTAGGAGGAGGTTGACGGGCTGCAACTCGTCGGCCAAGCATGTCCCACACGTGCTCTACTGGATTCAAGTCCGGTGAGAATGCTGGCCAGTCCATACGGGTGATATCCTCCGATTGAAGGCATTCGCTTACGATGTTTGCACGGTGAGGACGGGCGTTGTCATCCATAAACACAAATTGTGCGCCCATGGCGCCCCGAAACAAACGTACATGTTGTTCCAGAATGACGTCCCGATAGATTTGGCTTGTCATGGTTCCAATTTGAACATGCAGGTCAGTTCTGGAACCCAGAATAATTCCACCCCAAACGAGCACTCCTGCACCACCGTAACGGTGTCGTTCAATGATGTTTTCTTGGTGGTAACGGGTACCTGGAGCTCTCCATATGAAAGTCCGGCGAGAATCAGACTGCAAGCTAAACCTGGACTCGTCGGAAAACATCACACAAGCCCACTGTTGCGGTGTCCACAATGCATGCTCTCTACTCCAGGCTAACCGCAGGCGACAGTGAGTTGCAGTAAGTGGAACGCATCTGACAGGTCTACGAGCATATAGACCAATCTGCCCTAAGCGTCTGTACACGGTCTGCCTTGAAATTGTCGTACCAGTGGCTGAAGAGAGCTGACGAGACAGGTCTGAGGCTGTGCTCCGCCTGTTTCTTTTGGCAGTAACTGCCAAATACCGGTCCTCATTCGGCGTTGTAACTCTGGGGCGACCTGTGCTGTAACGTCTACTCACATTACCATCATCTTGGAATCGTTGCCAAAGCCTGGAGATGACACTCTGGGCAATTCCAAGTTCGTCTGATACTTCCAGTTGGGTACGCCCACATTCCAGACGGCCGATAATTCTACCACGTAAAAAATCATCCAAATGCGTCCTTTGTGTCATAACTATTCGGTTATTGCACTGAAATGCTTATAAAGCGCCTGCGAACAATTTTACTTCTTTGCCTGTATTCCTTATATATCACTCTCTTACACTCTCGTCATTGTGACGTACCATCGGTGTCATCTGGTTACTTCCTGAAATTTGCATATGATTCTTGAAGATGTGTGTAGTGATTTTACAGGTGATATATTTATTTTAGAGTTCGATTTCCGCGTGACTCCGAATTAACCTTAATTTATGGACATGAGTGTAGTTTACTGTCCTAATGTCTTAAAAATGGCAGCCTAATCTCTTAGAACTGTTAATTGGCAAATTTCCTTCCGTAAAAGATCTAAAGAGAGAGATGGCATGAGGACCATAGTGTCGCACGAGCTAAATTTACTTCCCCAAACTCAAATTCCCTCTCATTAATCAACTTAAACCGGATTGTGAGTGCATATACGAGTTAAAGGAGATTACGTTCCGTTTTAATGTCGAGAATCTGTATTCCTTTCAGAGGTACTTAAAATTTTTTCAATAAAATTCCCTTGTCAAGTAATATTTAACTTGTTTCATAATAAAATTTTGCATCCTATTCTTTTGTATTTGATTTTTGATTCAACATTTCAAGCAGTTTCTGAGATATCATTGTTTTTTGCATGAAAGGATAATTTTCGACACCAGTATATAAAATTTTCATTCATTACTATATCTACAATAAATAAATACAGTCACTCTGAATGAACATACTTCTTGCGAATAAAATAATGCTCCTGGAAGTCCATCGTTAAATATTTCTAAGTTTAATAATATAATACATAAACTTCATATATTTCAACTGGAAACAGGAAACGATTTAATTTCTTCCCTTTGGAATCTGCTTCACTTAATCATTACGGAAATAATACTGATATGCCTTGGACGGATACCTGGTAATCTCAGCAGCACTATTTCACTAAAAGGGGAAGATTATTAGCGTAGTACGATCCTAAATGCGAAGCAAGACATCAAGCATATTATATTATTGTAAAAAAGAGCGGCCAATTTTAATTTGCACGTGGGCAGTCGACGCTCTAGGATCAGTACTGAGGATTGCATTGTGAATGCAGTTGACTTTTATACCTATTTTTTTAAAAGTTGATAGGTTTGATCAAAATAGCATAATATTTTTTAAAATGTACAGTTCCGCTATATTTCTTTGAGTGCTTTCATAATAAATATTACAGAGTTTCAAGGTGAAATATTTTTCATTGAAATAGATAAAATGATTTTTTATTTCAAATTATTATTACATCAGGAATTTTTTTTTAATGTAAAAAGTTCAAAAATCAGTTTTAGCACAATTGCTTGAAAGGAAATTATATAAGTGCGTTATTTATATGTGGCATACAAAAATTGACAAAATCTAAAATTTGATGTGAAGGATTGATAACAGAAATACTATTTGAAATGAATGATGTACATACGGCAATATCTGCGACAATTAACCAGATACTACATATATGAGAATTAATTGATATCAGCATTCCCGAAATATATGCTTAAATGTTACATTTTCATGTTGCAGAGATATATTTCTTTTACTAATAAATGAAACGTCTTTACGTTTCAAATGAAAGAAAATAATTACATAGT